AGATTTTTCTACACACATGGGCCTTCTATCTTCCCATTTGCCACCTTTGTCCTGTTTAAAAATAAGGATTCGTTCAATTTCAGGTCCATTAATGAGCTTCATTATTACTCTAGACTGTGGCCATATATTTAATGTTTCAAATCTCTGTGAATTGCAACAGCAGGTTCCTGCAGGGTGGGAGCTGGAACCGACATCATGACACTGAGGAGAGGCGCCCTATCTTCTCTACTTCCATCTTCCCCCACCCCCCGGGGCCAGCGTGCCTTTACTACCACTTCTCTTGATTCTTTGTATCTCAGCTCGAGTTTCACATCTCTCAGAAAGCTTCTGGGATAGCTTTGGGCCTCAGAATTCTCTCTCCCCCCCAAAATCTGTAACCTTCATTTGGTAGCAGGAAAATAGTGTGAGGGAGTTAACATGTTACAGAGCAGGCTTTCTCAACCTTGATACTACTGACATTTTAGGCCAGATCATTATTCACTGTGCAGTGCATCCCTCTCCCAGAGTAACAATCCAAATGTCTAACACTTTCAAATGTCCACAGGGACAAAATCACCTCTGGCTGAGAATCACGGTTGCAGCATGAGCCCCGTGTATCAGGTCATGTGCTAGAATAGATTCTGTAGACTTTATGTTCACTGTCATATCCGACTTTCCTACCTTTATATTTTCCTTTACTTCACTTCACCCACTTATTTTTAACTCATTTTGCACTGCATCTTTACTTTTATATAGCACTTTAAACCTTTTTCTATGAGCAGGTGCTCCATAAACACTTACTGCTTCTTTTAGATGGTCACAGACAACCCTTGAAAATGAGTATCAGTGTCACCTTTTAACAGGTGAACACTGAAAACCAGAGATCTCTGTTCAGTAAGTGACTAAGGTCCAAATGACAAGCACTGGAGGAGCACACTCCAAGTCAGGACTGTCATATTCCAAAGCCCATGATATTTTCAGGGCACAGTGCTGTTTTGTTTACTTCCTCTCAATGGATTTACCCTTGTCACTCAACTGAATTTTAGCCTGCAGAATTAGGATCACGTCCACTACTCTTGGGAATACTGTGCATTTCTTATGATCGCATAGGGATTGTTAGTCTAAGGGGAAAGCAGACGTTTCTTTTAGCTCTCCAAAAACCCCTTTAAAGAGAGAATGAAGGTATAAAAGTCTGATCCTTAAAAGCATTCATTTTCTTTCATTTGTCTTAAACTATACTGAAACTACTCAATACTTTCGAAGGTTCAGAAAATACATTACAGGAAAAAATGAATCATCTCGGTGATTACTTTAATGCACAACTTCAGCTTCATGCATTTCCCTCATTTCTGCAGGGGAAGGCTATTTCTCCAACTTGATCCTTTTCAAAATTGATTGCTACGATTTCGATCTCTTTACGTCTTTTGCATGAGAGGAAGGAACAAATCTGCTTTTCATTTTTCTCAACCTGGGGAGTTTGGAGTGTACCACAGTGTTTCACCACTTAAACTACCTAAGGAATTGAGTTTCAAGAAACAACCTGCCCTGTAGGACAGGAAGTTCAAAATCAAACTACTACCTCAGCATCACGTCCTCAGAACTGGAAAAGGAGAGGTTAAATATCCTCCGCCAACTCTTAAAAAGCATGTGGAGAAAAGAGATATTAATAAACAGACTTCTGAAAGGGAAAAGGAAGACTCAAAGACGTGTGTTGCATTTTCTGTCCATGGGCTAGTTTACCTCCTAAAATTTCAGTTTGCTGTCCTGAGGACACTGGGTAGTGGTTATCATGAGGACATTATGTAGCACAGCCAAGAAGTCTGCTGAGGTTTCAATCGTTTTACAGGCCAATTTCACACTGTGAATCAGAACTACAGCTCAATGAGGTCAACATATTACAGCTACTGAAACTAAGGCTCAGTGGCTAACCCACACCAACACACGATTTCCAGTCCATATACTTTCTTTCCATCAGAGCAGATTTTGTCTGAAGCTTTCCAACCTTGGTCGAGAAGTTTCTGCTTAACTTTAAACTAAAAATAAATCCTTATTACAGTTAAGAAATATAAATAATAACATTGCTGTATTTAGAGGAAAACTGTTAAATTTAACCTTCCAAAACCACTGCTTATGGATTGGAGATCAGAGTACTTGCCCCCAGGAGATGGAAGTAGGATTTTTGAGACCTGGAAAGGAACTTAAACATGATTTTACAGAACAAAGTGAAGTAGTAGGTGTGGTAGAAAGTTCTGGACACATTGGGATCTAGATTTATATGTTAGTTAGAACCTCGGATTTATTATTTAAGTCCACTTTTAATGACAGAGGTGGACCAGGTGACCTTCCAGCAGCACTAAAGTTTTGTGACTCTGTTTTGCTTACTTTATCCTATTAGGAAAATCCTGAATGGGAAGATCAACTTGTTTTTTGCTTTAGATTAACTTTAATATTTTTTTTTACTTTCCCTCAGCTGGGGCCTTTTCACCTCTGCTGTAGCTTTCTTTCCAAGCTTGATCATCTCACAGTTGCTCTTTCCTCCACACGGGCAGCACCGATAACAACAGTGCAGTGAAGGCTGTAAAAATCTCTAACCCAAAAAATCAAAATCATCTGCCTCAAGGTTTTGGAGGCTTGTCTCTGCATTTCCTGGGCCAGTGTTTCTCTGTACATTCTTTTCTCCCTTACAAAAAAAAAACCTTATAAGCCCATCCTCTACATAGGATAGGGTTTGTTCATTAGTAGAACATAACTGCTTCCCTACAGCCAGACTGTTTTACAATTTGAATTCAGAAAAATGACTTGAATAATAACTAATATTTATATACTCATTTTTACATTTATGCACTGTTTACAGACTCCACATATTATAAAAGAATTTAGTTCACAGAGAGCTCTCTGAAGTAGGTGTGGGTATTCCTTACTATCCAAATCTATGTAGTTCCTAGGTTAAGTGTCTAGAGGTCAAACAGAGTTCAGTGAGTAAATTTGGATGGCCGGGGAAACTGCATCTTAATCTACTTTAGTTCTCAGACTTGGGATGGTGAAAGGCCTGAGTTTAAGTAAAGCAAATAATGCCATACAAGAGTGCAAATCCATTTGGTTCCTTTGCTGCAATAGCAAGGAGAAATATCTATCCCGTTATCTCCATTTTACACATGAGGAAACTGATGCATAGGTGGATCAAGTTAACTGCCTAAGGCTTCATGGTTAGTCAGTGGCAGAGCCAGAAATCTTACCCAGGTACTAAGGTCCAGAAATTTTACCCAGGCACTAAGATACCATAGTCAGTCATGCTTGTGCTTGACTGCCCAGCTAACCTTTATTTTCCCCTTGTGAATGATGGTGTCATCCACCCATTTCTCACTGTAGTTTTCTGGCAATGTCTGGATATGTTAGCCATAGTTCCCAACCCATTTTTTCCAGAGCTCAATTTGTCAGTAGACTTTGATTATATTATATAGTAGCACCAGTATAAAGAAGTATAAACAATGAAACCTTGCTGCTTTTTGTACGTTTTAACAGTTTCATCTCATGGCTTAAGGAAACAAGATGTTCCATTTAGTCACCATCTCTAATGAATTTCACTACTGCAGATGAAATAGTGACCTTTCTGTTGTACAGAAATAGGAAAAGCAGACTCCAATAACAGGTAAATGCAGGCTTGCATTTGTAAGTATTGGTTAGCCTTCATTGGGTGAGCAGTACTAGGTTAGCTAAGGAATACTAGCAGGCTGACGTGCAGTGCAATTTGAGTTCTCATTCTGGGCAATCTCTCTTGCAATCAGAAAATTTAGAGCCAACTTCAAGCTATTTATTCCTTGTTCTCAACGAAATCATGCTTGGGAGACCTGTTCTCATTGCCAATTAAGTTCACCCCTCTATTTCGTCTTTTAGTATTTAATGAATAACATCACAACCATTTATCTTAAGAGCTCAACCAGGGCCCTTATAAAACTGAAAAGCATGGGTGCTTGGTATTTTCATGACATGCTCTCTCATATGTGTCAGCTGACTGCCATCCAAGTACACAACCAGAGGATAAGTGACGTACATGTTAAATAAAACCTTATTTAACATGTTAAGCTGATAGGTAATATCTTTAAAATTTTAGTAAAAAATAAATTCACGCTTGACTTCAAAGTCTATCTACACTTTCACATAGCAACAAGGCTGGGCATAAAGTAGGACTAAGATTACATTCAATCAATAACAAAGAAAATATACCTCCTTGGAGGCCTTCCAGATAATAATGGCCTTGGCTATGCCTGTTTTCCAAGTGTCTGCTTCTGTGTCACCATGTGGTGAAAGGTAAAAGGTATGCAGCAGAGTGCCAGGAAGTGCATGAAGGTGCCCCACACCTTAGAGATGGGGCATACTCCTGGAGTGCCACTTCAGTCAAGGAGAGCAAAAGTGTCCCTGTAGTGAACCGTGATGCAGAAAGTTTCCAGTATGGACCTAGTATCCCCTGGTGGTTCTGCATACTCCAGTGGAAGGTGTGGAGATTCAGAATCTCAAGGTGCTCAAGGAGAAGGACTTAGTTCAAGGTTTTAATCACGACTCTATCCTTACCACCTAGGTGACCTTGGACAAGTCACTGTCCCTCTTTCTAATTTGCCTGTGCAAAGAGGTTAGATCATATCTATGGTTCTTTCCAGCTTCAAAGGTCTTACGGTTTTTGCTTATGTTTTAGAGCTCTGACTGCCTAATTTGCTGGACAGTCACATAATTTCTAATAGATGCCATCTGTTTACTCAGCATAGAGGTTTCATACTACTGTGAAATATCCCTGGAGATCCCAAGGATCTGCCAAAATCTAAATTGCTAGTATTCCTTAACTGACCTAGTATTGCTCACCCAGTGAAGGCTAACCAATCAATTCAAATGCAAGAGATACCATGAAAACATTTCACCACTATCCAGATTTTTATCAAAACTATTTTTCTTTACAGCCTCTGGTTCATCAAATATCCAACAGATGATTTTAGGGTTCACTAGTCATTATTTGAACATATCCATTATCATAGAGGTTCAGTTTTATTTTTAATTGAAATACCCACAAATGCTTTTTCTTAATAAAGTACTTACATAAGTCACATGAGTGAATCTAAGTGAAGAAGCCAATGGCAAAAACTCTCAAGCACACACATAGATTATATAATTTTTATCACCTGGACATTTATGAAGAACTTCTTAAAAGTTTAATACTCATTGCCATTATTTTCTTGTGATTTTTACAATTTAAACATCTGTGCTATCACACAGATTTTTAAAAATAGCACAGATTTTTAAAAATACAGTTTGTTTGAATTACAAATTATTAGCAGAATTCATTATTGTATAGCTATAAAAACCTCATTTAATGGGTAGCTAGAAAAAAGTAGGCCAGTGGTTGATGGGAAGGTTTATTAAAATCAAGGGCAGTTCTAGTTTCAAAGGCAAAAATTCTTCAGAGGAATCTATTTGTAATCTTCCGAAACTGCTGCTGTAAAAGGCTTCAGTCTCTGGATAAATCAATCCCCTTTCATGTCCGATGGCAGTCGTTATGAAATTCTGGGAGGCATACCCTACAATTTAGGAATTGGCGTGGCTGCCACTGCTATGCTTTCGATTGCACACTCATCAGTTCCTCGGCGGATCCGGAAGTAACCATCTTCACCCCAGCCCCTGCCCCAGCTGTTTTTCACAATCCAGTAGTCCATCCCAGAGGCTGAGTCAGTGCCATAGCCCACCAGCAGAACAGCATGATTAGTCAGCTGAAACGGGTTGAAGGGGTCTCTCAGGCCAGTGTGGTAATAGATCCCCTTGCTGTAGTGGAAGAAGTCTTCATAGACTTCAAAAGCAACTGCCATGGGCCCCTGATGGACCAGCTCCAGCTTCATCAGGGCTTCATTGCAGCCCCCGTAGAAACCCCCCACGTAGTGATACTCGGAGGAGTAGTAACGGAAGCAGTCTTTCTTCGGTGTGCATGGAGAATCGGTGCCTGTGTAGGGGAAGCAAGCCTCTTCTACCAGCCCAAAATCTTGTGCGTACTTTCCTGCAATGAGGTATGGGAAGCCACCTTCACAGCCTGAGGATGAATAACATACACAGTTATCTCCCCTCTATTGGAAAGGGGCACTGGAGAAATTGTCCCATTGCTTTGTTTTTTCTTTTCTACTCCATTAATTTTTTTGTGTTAATCCCAGAAATTGTTCTAAGTTTAAACGTTACTTCATTAGCCATCTAGCTATTTATGCTTTTATCCTATCTATTTAATACACATTTATTTGGCATCTTCAAAATGTTATAGAACAACTTCAATAAATAGAGATGAGATCTACTTCCCAGGGTTTTGAACATTGTCTGATAATGTCTGTAAGAGGCCCTAAGAGCCAGTGCTCATTCAATCTGTAGTAACTACTGACATTTTACAGGATGGTGCAGTGAATTCCATTAGAAACCACTCATCAATAAGTGATAGGGCCAGAATACGCACCTGGGTTTTCTGACCACAGACATTGTGCTCTTTCTCCTGTACCATTCTTTTGCTTTTGCCAACAATTCCAACAGTAGTGGAAATGTAACACTTACCTTGAGCATATTGGCTGCAAGACACAACCTCCTGAGGACTCAAGATCGGGGTCTGGGTATTGTTGGTCAGTATACGGATTCTTGCCTCCAGCATACCCACAGAAGCAAATGAGTAGCAGCTTCCACAAGATGCTGGTGATGGAAAAGAAAAATATATGACCCGAGAGACCTTTGAAGCATCACAAAGAAACAAAAAACCTTACTGGATGACATACATTCATATATTTATATTGACTCTTGCTGTTCATGGGGATCAGCACAATATAGAAGATTCAATCAAAAAACACTACTGACTTTACAGGCAAACATTAAGATTTCAACTTTTTCACTGAAAGGCAAATGTTACTATATGGTGGGGGGAGGCTTTCCTTGAGAATATTTTAGAAGGAAAAAAAAAATCTCCCTACTTCTGCAAAAGATTTTGATAGTATTCTTGATAACAAAGCAATGATTTATATCTGCAACATTCTGAGCCATCCAGTTGAGAGAAAATTATGGAGGGATACCTGTAAGATGAACTTGTAAATATCTCCAGAGCAGAATTTTCTAAAGTAATGTGTTGGGTAGAACTAATCCTAAGAATAGCTCAGATATGGGCATAGTGTAGGGCTGGATTTGACCAGGGTCAAGGGGGCAAAATATAAGAAAGCCCAAGAAAAAATGTACGGAAGTAACTATAATAACAGATATGGTATTTAAGGTGGCCACTGAGGAAGTGAAGATATAAGGCAGATGGAGGTAGTGAAATTCTAAGGACAAAAGGGTAACAGCAGTACATCCATATTTCCCTGAAAAGTGTCATCTAGAGGCAAGAGGGACATGAGGGCAAGAGGGACCTCTGCCATTGACATGCTTGTACGAAATCCAAGACCTGAAATGCAACAAATACAATTAACATGTTTTTCAATTTGCTAACATATTAGTTACCAAAATATCTAAATGATGAGCATTCCCTTATGCACATAAAATAAGATTAATGAATAGACAATATGACAATTCCAAGAACTCATTCTATAGAAAGAGAACACTGCCTTTGTTCTCTTTAGCAAATCTGAATTTAGTAATTTAGTAACTGCCTTCCTTAGAAAGTATTCAAAAGAACATCATGCATTCAAACTATTATCAGGGCGCTGTGTTTCCCTTCTCCAGCTACTGTTGACTTGTGTCCCTCCCTGAGTAAGGAAAGCTGGATAGTCTCTGCTTAGCCTTTAACATCCTAAAATGTATTAATTTATACTGCATTAATTTATACTGCTTTCCTCAAACTAAACTGTAAATCTCCTAATGTGTTCACTCAAGGAAATGTGTTTTCTTCAGCTAGATGCCTGATGCAATGAGGGAACTCAATGTTTTTAAAAGAAGGGTCAAATTATACACAGCAGATACACATTTACATCCAGGAAAGAAAATGACTTTAATGGAAATAGTCAACCTTTACTTGTTTCTAAGGCATAAGAGGGGCAGAGCCCTAGTTTGCAAGGTGAACCCTCTTCAAGTCGTTCAAAAATATCACAGATCCCAGATCTAGAGTCTGTTAGAGTGCTACTACTTTTTAACTGCTACAATTTCTAATGTTTCCCCAAATTCTTCCCATAAACATCTGATCCCCACATTATACACTGCTTTTGCTGTTGAGGGAATCACCTAAATTATGAAAATTAGGAGAGAAACACTGGAAGGGGGCCTTGAAATTCATCTGTGTTCAACTTACTCACCTGACAGTGCATCATTGAGACTCAGAAAGAGCAATGGCCTTTCCGAAATCACAGAGCTAATAGATAGCCTGTACTAGTGTCTAAGTGTCTCCTTGCACAGGTCTAATGTCTTTTTCAGTATAGGTTTGTATCTAAAGAATTTTCAAGTTTTCTTTCCTTGTCGTTTAGTTACTAGATAGACCAAAATTCACTTGTACATTTTGCTTTTGAAACCATTCAAATAATTTACTATCCTTAGGACCTCTTTCAAATGAGAATTTTGAAGAATTAATCAGCAATAGTAAATAGCCAGAGCCAGTGTTCCTTTCATGGGACACCAGGGTCTTATAATAAACACCCTAAGGAAGTCTGGCCCCTTTTGGATATCCAGCATTCTTGCCCAAAGCAGCCACAGAAATAATCTCACTTGGTATTAACCACTAAATCCTCCTCATCTGACCATCCAGCACTGTGGGAGGACAGGTCACATGTACGTTCAGTGGCTCGAAATGTGGCCTGCTAACAGAGAAATCACGGGAATGAGGAAAGATAACCTTCCTCAAGGCCCCGACTTCCCAGAAGAATGTGTCAGCTGCCAAGGTAATTAATGCCTCTTTTCAGAGGTCAAGGCCAGAATCTAGATTCTAAACAAACCATTCATTATCTTTTAAGAATTCTACAGTGCAATAAAGAACAAGGGTATGTGGCCCAAACAGATCTTTGTAGTTATCCAATTTCTACAATCTCAAATAGATAATGTGATTGTCACATGGTTTAACTATGTTCAGCTGCACCTTCCAACCGTGGAGAGCACACTGAACTAGGAGTAGGGAGTCAGGATTCTCCCTGCCCCCCATCTCTCTGTCACTCAGCTCTGTGACTCTGGGCCAGTCACCAGACCATTTTGGCATTGAGGGTGGAGCAGACAGTTTAAGGTCTCTGCCTTCCAACTTTAATAGTAGAAACAGTACTTAGAACAAGACATCAATGAACTACATTTTGAACATTAGGAAAACTCTCCGCATTTTTTAATTAATGTGAATGGAGAGACACTCCCCTTATCTCTTGAAGACACAACAATAAAGACCGCATGGCTGGCAGAAGAACAAAGAAAGACCACCTCTTCCAATTTCTTGGCATCTCATCCTTCAAAGTAAATCTATCTGTAAGGCTGGTGCTTAAAGATGTTTTCAAGCTAAAGGTAAAAAAACCTCATTTGTCCTCCCAATATTTCTTTTTTCATTTATCTTGCTTTCTTTTCTGAATAGAGAAAAGTTGTGAATTCCCTTAACTGCGTGCAATTTTGAATTCTGGGTTATATAAAACATTGGTTTTTCATTGGAAATTTCCAAGTAGCCCAGTTAGCAGGAAGAGAAGATCATTAATTTTTTCCCAGCCTACAGTACAGAAAAGCCAAAGGAAGTCAAAAGAGGAACCTCTAAGTACATTATTTTCTCAAATTTTGGACAAGATACTCCAGATGCAGAACAAATTCAAAAGCAATTAATCTATTAAAGCCCTCTGTTTTTAAGCTGCTCTTGTCTGTACACTTCACATTTATAACACTCAAAGAATATGAAACATTAGAGGCAATACTAGCTCTTATCAAGCTACAAGAAAACCAGTGTCAGAAAATCTGGCTTTAGAAAGTCTAATTTCCTTCCCCTGAGGTGTTGTCATATCAGTGGTCAGTCACATCTTTGGGGAAGTGCGAGGAACTAAACAGTTTTTCGACCTTTTCCTTTGCTCCCAGTGAACTTTAAAAACACTTTATGAAAGCAGTTATCATATTGTATTTTAATATTTTGCTTGCAGATATTGCTAAATTATAAGTCTCTAGGACCAAGGACCATATAAAGACTAATATCCTCAGCCATTAAAAAAAAATTCTGAACACGTTAAATGTTCTAAAATCACTGCAACACAAAATAAACAACCATCTGCCAGGCCCTCAATAATCAGCACCTGACATGCATTGTTTACTTAATCTTCTCAAATTAGTATAGGTATTCTGATGATAGAGTAAATTTTAATTCTAACATCGGCCCTTTAATTTCACTTTCCATTTATTTCTCAATTACATTCAAGTTTCTCTCATTTCCAGTCTCTCCTCTCCAAAGAAGTCCTCAGTGACAAAGAAAACATAGGGAAGGATTTCAGATAGACACTTGACTAGAGCTCAAGAGTCCCAGAGTAACTGGTATGAAGGGAGACAAAGGGGTGAGACCTCTGGCGTCAGATGAAGGGCAGGAACCTTGCTGACTGGATCCTCTATGACCTGCTCAAAGCTCTGTATATTCAGGACCTTGTGCAATAATTCAGTGAAGATGGAACTGAAGAGTTGATAGTGAATGTTGAGAAATGAGAGGCTGAATATCGGGAAGAACAATTTATCTTTGGATATCATTACTTTATAATCCTCTTGGGAGATACTAATAGAAATATTTCCAGAGAGCAACTACTACATCTATTTTATAGTAAAAATCAGTCAAATGTACTGTAATTATCTTCAAAATGGGCTTAGAAGTAATAAATCTAAGAATGGTATAAATGATTTCCAAGTAATTTTTGGTTAAAATTTGGTATAACAAAACAATTTGCTATCAAGTTCTATTACAGGAAGAGTGATTAAATCTACTCATACTGTATCAAATCTTTGAAAATAACTGGTGAAATGCAATTATAGTGGTACTTTTGTTAAACCTGGGCACTGCCCCCAGGTCACCACCATTCAGGAAGTTGGGTCCCATTATATGGTATAATCTGATGTAAAGTGAACTGAAAGGTCCTTATCCAGCTCAAAAAAACTCCCTTATCAGAAAAAATTTAAGGATCCATTTCACTGGGCTTCTAGGATGAAAGACTAAATGACATGGGGCGAGGTTGGGGATGGGCTGTGTTGTGTGGGAAGACAGCCAGCAAAGGATTCTGGCAAATCACATGCAAAAGGCAAGCCAATTGTACTTCTATGCAATTCTTTGGTTCTACGTGAGTCCCTTCCTAGGAAAGCAAATGAGTTTGTCTCACATATTACTCTGAATAATTTCATTAGCTACCTAGAATATATATTGAAAAGGTTACTGAAGAAATGTTGAGCTCAGCTGGAGAAATTATCTATTAACAGTCTGACACGGATACAAAAGGAAGAAGTGAGTATTCACTGGCCATACATTTTCCATTTCTTTACTGATTTGAATGATGTCTACTTTATTTCTATATCCCCAAAATCTACCCGAGAGCCTAGCACATAGTAAATGTTCAATAAACATTTCAGAACAGATTAATGAAAAAAATCCGGCTTTTTTTTTTTACCCTGGTTTCGAACAGGAGTGACAAAATTGGTACCACGAACATTTCTCCAGTCCCAAGATGTCGGCAAATGTGAAACCTGTTTATTTATTTCAGCTGTCAGTGGTGCAGGTTGGGGCCTAGAAAGGAAATGTACATTTGAAAACAATATATAGTCTTCCATTTGAGGATTATTTCTTAACCTCTAATTCTATGATTTCAACCACCTGGCTGTCTACGGTCTAGATTCAGACCCAAAGAGCACTGTTCTATCAGTGTTTCAGTGTGTCAATTACACAATAATGTTGTGTCCCCTGTACAATGTGTCAATTACACAACAACTAAGTTGTACCAATGGTTTTCATTATCCATTTCTTTGTAAGGATGTAGTAATTTTCTTTATACGATTACACTGGTTTTGTATACCAAGTGATGCGATTTTTAGTATGTCTCAGTAGCTGCACTGACCTACTTTGAATAGATTTTGACCAAAAGAAATTGACATGGTAAATTGGAGGTGGCCTACAGAAGGAAGCAGGAAAAAATAGAGGAATTACTGATGTTTGATTCAGGAGATGGGTGGTGGCTATGACAGTGATGTGCTTGTAAAATAAAAGAAGTGAAGTGGGCACAGAAACGAAAGGCTAAGTATAAAGTGGGCAGACTACCTCCATAAACAACAAACAAAACGGCATCAGTATAGAACCACACCTTGTATGACGTGGTTGGAAAACAAGACACAAAAAGGACGGTTGCCTGGGATGATGAATGATGGATGGATAGACATTGCCTGAAAATGAGAAAATTATTCTTCAGGTTTCTCTGTAGGGATTCAAAGGAAGCAAACAAAGCATTCTAGCCTGGATGCAAGTTTCTGTGATTTTACACGGAAAGACCACATGATTCAATCCATCAAGAGATACTGTCTCATATATGCCTAAGAACACACTAAATAATATGAAAGATACAAAAAGCAATTACATTTTGGCAGCATAATGTCATTTCAGAGCAGGTATCTCAGAGTCACCTAAGGAATTTCTGGCCCATGAGATGCTCCGGTTAAAATCCCCCGGATGGCTTCATCACTCCCTAGCTGTGTGACCACTAAACAAGGGGCTTACGTCACAACACTACAATCCACTCCTATTAAAATGGGTATAATCGTATCTACTTCAAGGCTGTTATGAAAATCCAATCTAATAATGTCCAACAAATGCTTACAACAGTGCCTGGCTCTGGTGAGTCCTTAATAGATGATTAAGCTATTGTGTTAACACCTATCATCATCACCCATAACATTAACACGACTAAGCATGACACTGATACATTTAAGCAACTATCTGGCACAAGACAAGCACTCAAATGCTAACTTTCTGCTTCCTACCATCCTGTAAGGTAGGGTGCTTGCCCATCAATGCACACCCAGGCAAAACAAAGACCACGTGACGACTGAGGATCAATGGTGTGAAAATGAAGAGAGTAGGAGAGGAAAATGGGAGATAGATGAGTGAGAAGTACAAACATTATACACACATTATGCATTACTGGCTCTTAATCATCTGCATCCAGATTGTTTAAGAATCTGGTGAAAGTTCTGGACTCAGATGTCCTTAAATCATAAGTTTTTCTGTAATTTCAGCAGTAACAGATTTCCTAGATCTCAAGTTAAGCATCTCTGAGAGTTTCTATGATGTCACTGGATTTTTACAACAGAACTGATTTATATACAGAACTACTACTGAAAACCAGGCAGCCAGACCCCAACACGTCTGCTGCAGTTACACCCCCTGACCTTAAACTCTCCACGGAGCTGCAGCCTGACAAGCAGCCCCTCACAGAGCTGCCCCTTCTCCAAAACAAACGTGGCCGGGTGGAGGGAGAGAAGAGTGACGCCCACAGGTCCTCAGAAACAGGGCGAAGCCGCTGTGCCTGGGCTCAGATGTGCCGCAGGAGCCCCAGTCTCCCGGGGCTCAAATGCTGACGACACCCTGCTGATGCTCTTCGGTACTTTTACTCAACAGGCCTCAACTTCCTGTCTCACACAGATGAATCAAGAAGGGACAGAATATGCTCCCTTTCTCCATTTCAATTAACCAGAGCATCTCATGGGCCAGAAATTCCTTAGCATACATTTTGAATTGTATGAGATTCTTTTGAAAAGGGGGCAGAATTATTGGAGAATGCTATCAGGTGGGTAGGAAAAATCTCTACTCAGTTGCATAGTTGAAAAATGCCAGAGCATTAGGCTTATTAGCCTGCAGATGGAAAAGTTAGAAATGCATTTTAGTTGGAAATTAACCAATTAGCTGCCTGTTTAAGCAATAAAATTTGAACCACAGACTCTATTGATACTAAGAAAATAATCACTGTGTTCTCTGCAAATTGGAAAACGTTTCCATGTACAAGGGAAAATAACCTACCTATGCATTTTACTGACTTCCATTACCTCAACTGGTTTCCAATTCCCTGACCTTTAGTTACATCACTTTCTCCTGAAGAAAGGTACAGCCTAACAGGAATACCCTTGGCTGTTTAACAAAGGTTAAGGGATTATATACTCTGATAGATCCAGCTAGAGTTTTGAGGGAATTTAAAAAATATACCAAATTCCTGGCTATATAAATTCAAACTATTATGAAGTGATTTCCCAAAGTAAGAAATATACCATAGAGTATGTAAACCAAAGACAGGGAATGTCAGTTCTGCCTTAAGTAGCAGAGGGATATTGATAAATAAGGAACTTTTTTTTTTTTTTTTTTTGGCTGGACCTTAGAACAGAGAGAGGATTTTGAAATTTTTACAAGTGGCAAATTTGACATTTATTATAGCCAAATTGAGGGGTATTTGAGGCAAAGGGAATGGTATGAATGGAGGGAATATGAAACAGGAGTTTTCAGTAACTGCATGTAATACTGTTAAAAATCAAGTCATAATACTAATTACAGTAATGTTCAAATTTACATGACTTTGGTTACCAGGTTAAATTTATTCATCAGGCAATAGGTAGTGACACAATCATAGCTGGGTATGGGAAGATGAATAGGCAGTGTTTTACCGAATGGCTAAGAATGCAGACAGGGAGGCAGAGACTAAAGAGATAGGAGGCAGGAAGTTGATCTGTAACACAGCAGAGACAACAAAGCCCTAAGCCAGAGTGCTGAGAATGGAAAGGAAATGAAGGAAGTGTTAGGTGCTGTGAAAGCAAAACCCCAAACTAGGACTTGAAGTATGTATGACTAGGAGGGGGAGATAGTTGGAAAAAAGGTAACATAAATAGTTTAAGTTGGGATGACCAATTAACCGGTGCCAGGAAAGCTCAATGGAAGGATGGTATTCAATACAAATATCCTTATTAGTGATAAGGAGATGTGATTTTATTACCTTGGGATTCTCCCATGGTGGCTACCACCTTTCCTGATCATCTCTCTCAGGGTAAGCATCTCATATTCCAAGTACGTGGTTGCAGTCCAAGACTTCTGAATAGTATTGACAGCTTTCACAAAGTCGTGGTTATATTTGTAAAGCCTATTAGAATACCTGCCAACAAAAATAAGATAGCTTCAGATATACTCTTTACAGATGCAGATTCCATTAAAATAGGCACTCAGATACTCTGGGCCTGAGTGGAAAATGGTATAATTCTCAAGAAGGGAATTTTTTATTTTCATAATGCAACTTCATCACTATATTCATATCTTCAAATGAGTCATTATGCTACATTTTTAGAATAAAAAATCTACAAGTGCATCACAGTTTCATGAGAGACATACAACACTGACTTTCCCTAACAGTCCATGGTACAGTCTAACATCACATGCATAGAACACAAAATTTAGATAAACTGACATTGTAACATAAATAAAAGCCAGTTTCAGAAAAAATAAAAATTTTAAGGATCCCTGGAGTATTTTTAACCCTAATGAGATTTCATTAGATTCACGTCATTTTGTAGTGAGGAATTCAGAACATGACCCCATTAACCTGGCTTAGGAATTCTTGAGAGCTGTGAGTGACTGCATCAGACATTCTAACAACAAATGATAGCCAATTTTTGATATGAAACATCCCCTTAATTTGGCTCTAAGGTCATCAGGCTTTTGAAATGCATCTTCCTTCTTGCTCCTTGCATTTCAACGAACTGTTGTTTACAGTACAGTTTGTGTTGGTTTCCTTTGTTTAAATAAAGCCTAGTTTTTCTGGCACCAAAGCAAATTTGGGTTTAGGTCATATAGGAAGAGACAACCTATGAAGAAGGTCTAAAAGGTACCCTCCACTTTTGCTTGAGGAGATGCATACACATATCAGTAGTCTGGAATTGGAATGTCTCCACTGAAAATACAAGTTCAAGATAATTAAGATGTATGTATAAGGATGCTCAATGAAATACTTTTATACTAGTGATAGATTATAGACAATCTAAATATATGTTCTGAGATAATGGATTAATTAAATACTGGTACTTCATGTACTATACAGTTTATTCAGTAAAAGGGTCTAGAAGATATTCTCGTGATACGGAAGACTGTTCACACTATACAAAAGTAAAAATCAGGATATCAAAGAAGTTTATTTAGAATCAATCATTTTTTGTGGAAGTATATAGTACATTTTAAAAATGCCAACCATGATTATCTCTGAGTGGTGACATGGGATCACCACCTTACCCCTGCCCCTGATAATTTCTAAAATGCACCTTTACAATTTGCAATAATAAAAAAAGGAGATAGCAGAAACTGTAAACAATGTATATTAGCATGGCAGGCAACCACAGGATGCAAAAATATAATTGTTTTCCATATGGACATTTGGTTTATATCCTTGTTACTCAACTTTGATTCCTGAGTTATTAGCAGCAGCACCTGGAAGCTTGCTAGAAATGCAGACTCTTAAGTATCTAACCCAGACCATCTGCATCTGAATCTACTTTTTTTTATTTTAACAGTATCCCCAGTGATTCACAATTAACTTTAAAATTTGAGAAACACTCACTGGTTTACCTGATGCTAAATGCTTGGATACAAAAAGAGTGTGTTTACAATGCAAAAAAATGGAGGAGTTGATTATTCATTTAATTCAAACATGTGTCAAATCTATGTGCCAGGTGCTAGGAATTAGAGAAGGCATCATCTTATTTCAAGAGACTTGAGGGTAAATTAGTAGCAAATGCTCACTCTAATAAAAAAGATTCTGTGGCTTAAGAATCAAGTATGGCTCACAGTCCAAGACTTCCACTTACATTCAGCTATGAAAAGGAAGACATATTCAAACTGAGTAACATCTAGGCATATTGTGAACTTCTTGTTCTCTATAATTTTTTTAACTTCCTCCCCTCTTTTTGTTCTCTTTTCATTTAGATGTTCACAGAGAGTATTTTGATATAGTCAGTGAACCTGGGGGCACTGAAAATAATAAGAAACATGTGAACCACACTGGTGTTTTTTATCAATGTTCTTTCCCACTTGCTGCAAAATGTGAAATCAGAGAGGTGCTTTTATTAAATATTATAAAACTGCTGGTATCATATATCTGACAATAATAACACAACAACAAATACAAGTTATAATTGTTTCTTTAGACACAGGGTAAGTTTTAATGTAAATGTATATCTTGAAATATGTTCCACTAAGGAGAGTCATTATGTCATTGACTAATTATTTGAGAAACAGTAACTAGCTCACTTCCCTGTTTTATTGTAACATCTAGCAAAACAAAAGACTCTGGTATGTGCAGTACAGCAATGGCAAAGTAGGTCTTCAAACACTATTATTTATAGTGTTTAAGATCCAGCAAGATAAAAAATAATGTAACTTAATATGGGATAACTGATCATTCAGAGCTGAAAAGGACCTTAAGGTAATTTAGTCGCAATGATCATTTTACAGGTGAGGCAACATAGATTCTCAGCACCCAGGTTAGTAGCTTCTTCAATAAATGAAGCAATGCTTGAAATATCAGCAAGAGTGCCAACCCAGTCTATCCCTAGTAGGGTAAAAAGTGAATAGCTTATTAGGAAATTTGTTGCTCAAGGATCAAGCCAAGCAAAGTAATTTAAAAGCTAAATTCAAAATGGAGGGGATAAATTTGTCTAGATCTTAGTAAGCACTTTCCCAGCCATGCAAGTTGTCCTCCTTGAACTCAGGTCCCCCACCTCTCTGAGGCAGAATCAGTCATTGCTGGTGTGTCCTGGCTTTGGACGATTTGTTTATATATACCTTCAGTGGATTTCACAACTAAATGAAACAGAAAATGTTGCTACCAATAATATTCATATATCTTTTTCTTCTAAACTAAGTCTGAATCTCATTTATGTAGCTGACGGTTAAACCGGACCTATCTTAACAAAAACACTAACTGCATGCATGTGATAAGTGAACTGTAATCTCCCAAAATTCATAGTTCATGTCCTATCTTCTAATACCTCAGAATGTGACTCAGTTTGCAGATTGGGACTTCAAAGAGGAAGTTAAGGTATAGTGAAGTCATATGAGTGGGCCCCAACTCAACAATATTGGTCTGCTTATTAAAGAAGATTAGAACACAGAGGGATGGACATACGAGGATACAGTGAGGAGGTGGCCACCTGCAGGTGAGGGAATATGGCCTCTGAAGGCCAGGGAAAGTGGCCTCAGCAGAAACCAGGCCTGCTGGTACTGTCATTTGAGGCCTCTAGCCTCTAGAACTGTGAGAAAATATTGCTGTTGCTAAAGACACGCAGTCTGTGGTATTTTATTATGGCAGCCCTAGCAAACTATTAAACTACAAAAATCTTAAGAATTATAATTTCAGTTACTTCTTGCCTTGTTTAAAATTTATGTTCAATTAGTATCACGTACTTTTGTTGCCACATAAACACATGTAGCTACAAGTATTACACAACATGTTATTACATGGCAATGATAAAATGATTTTTCATTATTAGTTATTGAAATGTTGTGGCCCAATAAATAAATTTTCTTTAATGCCATCTTGGTCCATTATTTTTAGAACTCTTTGAAAAAATACTTTCTTCTCTCAGATCAACTTATTTTCCCAGTAAAGTTCTATGTACTATGGCTTATGTTACTAAGTTAAATAAACTTTATATAATCAAAATGAAATTTCCCAAGAATTAACATAGATACGTACATACTGTAAAACACAACTCAATGTGTCTTTCATTTGTCACAACTCACCTTTCATGGGGAGTCTCAAGATGTGCTATGTTCATGTTCACATTCTCAGAGGCAGTTCCCACCTTTCTTCCAGTGAAACAAGCCCAGTTCCGGCCCAGTACATCATGTACCCACCCAGGCATGGTCTCATGGCAATAACTGGTTACCTTGCTGCCCTCCTGTTCATACTGCAATCAAACAAGGGAAGGAAAAGACAAGGTGAATCTGTGTTCATCTCCCAGGCCCACTGCCCTGGCCCCTGTATATAGTGAACCTGCCCCATGTTTGTTTCATCTTAGGGACCAGCCTCTGTCAACCAAAACAAAAATTTCACTCTGAGAGGTTACATTCTGCACATTACTCTAGGAAAGGAAGAGAAATAAGCTTTTCTATGATCAGCATCACTGATGACCAAACAAAGTTTATATAACAAAGCACTTCTGGGGATGAAAGGCATAGAAGAAACCAACCTTTTTAGAGCACCTGCCACATTCCAGGCACTTACACAAGTTATCTCATTTGATCCTCACAATAAGCCTATGAGCAGGCAGCCACCAATAACCCCATGTTACCAGCAAGTTAAGTGGAGGCTTAGCTCAGGAGGGTAAGTAGCCCTTTTCTAAGTTAGCAGAGCTGTTAAGTGGCAGAAACAAAATTCTTCTCAAACTATACTTTTCCACTCAGAGAAAAGATGCATTTCAGCAAACTACAACAACAGATGATGAAAATTTTCAACAGAACTAAACAAAATCCTTCCTCTGTCAACCTCACAATTAGGATCTTCTAATTATAGCATAGCTAAAACAACCTGTGAAAATGACTCTTTCCAACTTTTTCAGAAACATAGCCCTTTGTCTTATTTCAATGTCAATACTGAAAAATAACTATAAAGCAACAGATCCAGGATTTGAATGGCGATGTTTTGACTCCAGAGCCTAAGAACCCTTGCGCTCTAACATGACCTCACGGATGAGGGGCACAGAACCCAGAAGGAGATTGCTGAGTGGGAGCAGAAACGAAGAGCAGGTGCCAAACTGCCATGACGGGCACTTGCGCACAGACAATTTCAGGCCTTGACTTAGTTAAACAAAAGACCAGAAGCAGTCGAAGGCAACACACAAGCAAATCAGTAGAGCTATCAGCTGTGTCTTCACAAAGTATGCAGCAGGTTGGTTCTGCCACTGGCACAGGCCCCTAATCTCACATAGCGGATACTATACCTGGGTGCAGGGATTGGCACTTCTGTTTTAAGAGCCAGACAGTAATAATTTTAAGGCTTGAGGCTATTAGGCCTGTCATACCACTCAACTCTGCCACTGCAGGGTAAAACGTACGCAGGGAAAATGTTAAATGAATGAGGCTGTGTTCCAATACAACTTTACTTACAAAAACAGGCCTGTAGTTTGCTGTACCCCAAGTTTAGAGGAATGTGTGGCTACAAACTACAACTTACAGGTAAAATTAACTTACTTTATCTGACTCTGCAATCAAATCATGCTTAGGGTACAGTTAAAAACATATGGCCTTAGAATTCAAAAGAGCTGGATCTGAATCCTGGGGCTCACCACCCACGTATAGCACAGGAGAAGTTACTAAGGGCTACCCACGCGTGGTTTTTGCCTCCATCTTGCTGGTTTGTGATAACGTGAAGCCTGTCTATCTCTAGGCTTAAGATCATCCTCATTAGCATGAGTTCGGCTCATGACTCCTCATGTCACTGCTAAAGCCCCCACTCAAGACCAGGAACAGTGAAACGGCAGCCTAGGATACGACCGGGCTGCAACCTTGGAAGTGCGCTGTGTGAAAAGGTAATAAAATGGATACTTATTATGTTGAACTACATGAAACTGCTATTTCTATAGATCAAAAATCATTTAACCTCACACAGTGCCACCTAAACCCCGAGTCCTATCCCGTGTTTCTCTTTGGCACAGGTCCCTGACCGTGTTCCCTCCTCTCCTGTTGCAAGTCAGTCACACAGGCCAGGCTGGGCCAATCCAAGGCTGCCCCGAGCTCCGCTGTTTTTAGAGAGCAGTCTGACAAGGCCTTAAGAGTTCTTGAGATCTTCCTTACAGAAACTGTCAACTGTATATAAATGAAAAAGAATGCTAGATACAGGAAGACCCTCATTGCAATATAAAAGCTAAAAATAAGAACAAAGGAATGTTCTAAAGGTTCATGTATAAAAATGATTAAGAAAATTAGTAACTCAAAGGAATATTATACAACACTTTAAATGATAAATATTAATTCTATAGGAGACAGGTAAGCAAACTAAGGCTGGGGAAAGCAGCCTGCTTTTATAAACATAGTTTTATTGCAACACAACCAGGCCCACTTGTTTATATATTCGCTGTGGCTGTTTTTGTGTTGTGGCGACAGAATGGAGTAGCCTTAAAACATTCACTATCTGGCCCTAGAAGAAAAAGTCTGACCCCTTTATAGAACCACAGAAACAGAAAACCTATGATATTTTATTTTAAAAGGAAAAAAAATAATAAGATAGCATGTAAGTTGAAGGCAAATATGTATGAAATACGGTTTTTATGAAATGGTTTTCTTAAAATGGAACTCAAAGGTGAAATGGGTCTCTGGGTGGGATTTTCTTGGCTATTTACAAAATAAAGATTGATATATAAATTTTGTCAAACTCATCGCTTTTTACAATACTCTTATTTCCTAAGAATGAAACAGTCTACAGAGTCATAGAAGAGGACACCTGTGAGGGAAGGTCCAGGTATTGCTAGATGCTAATCTGTCTGAGATTATGGTTATACTTCTTGAAAAATAAAATCATTATTTCTATAACCTATTTTGTATTCTGCTAACTCTTTCACTTACTTATCAAAAACTTATCGGTCATATAGTATTTCCCAGGCATTATGCAAGGTGCTAGGCATGCATGCAAATCGGTATGCCCATGAGTAGTTCAGAGTTCAATGAAATAAACAACCTTATAAATCATTCATTACAACATCATGTGGTTCAGCGACCTAACCATGCTTGGAGAAGCCCAGGAAATTTCCCTAAGTGGAAATTTAGATAACAGGTTTTCTCAACCCACCAGGAGAGTTAGGGGCATTCAAGTCAGAAGGAACAGGTTCCGTGTTTTCCCTCAGCGTGGCTTTCCTCACTAGTTGGCAGAACAGAGTCACAGCTAGAAGCAGATGGCTAACACCAAATGAACTTCCCCTGGGTTGGGGGAGGCTTACTTGGTATTTTGACATCAGGGGGATAATTCACTGGAGCATGACTGATTTTGCTGTAGTCCCTTATCATTCATATTTGTTCAGGGACTCCATACTCTTCATCATCAATATTACACAACTAGAGAACCATAATATTTATCTATCACTCACTTTATAAAGATTTTACAGATGGCTCACAAATCTGAGAGGTTCCAGAGACCATAGAGATAATACAGTCTCAGGGGACAAAAGGAGACCTAGTGGAGGAGGAAAACAAGGACTCCTAGAACAAAGGATTCTTCCCAATACTGGGCACCACTTCTTCATACATCTGGTCTTCTCACAAAGAGCTGAAGGAGCAGACATAGCAGTCATGGTCAGAAACACTGAGAGAAGATACCTAGAAACCATACAGCAAAGGCTTAAAACTCAGTTTGCAAGGGGTTTCCATCTGTATCATTTGACTCACAATGGACTCCCTGAGATAAAAGGCACTATTCCTCTCATGAAAAAAATTTTAAAAAGGCAGCTTTGCCACATAAAATGGAGAAGAGAGAATTCAAATATGGGTTCGCAGGTTATAAGGAGTACTGCTTTATTCAGTTTCCTTAAAAAAAAAAAGTTGGAAAAGATTAACTGCCTCACATGAGTCAGGTCCAAACTGTTGCCCATGGCCCTTCAAGGCCACTGAAATTCTCTAGCAGCCCTCACAGCCATTCCCACTCTTCACGTGGCTAGTTCAGTCTTTCTGCTATTTTGCTAAGGGTTTCTGATGCAGGGCAGAGTAAAGGGAATGTATCTTCAGGCTTGAATGAGTAGTTTGGATGCAGCTCTTGATACTTACTGGTGCATGATCCTGAGCAAGTTACTTCTCTCTGTACTTGCGGTATCCTCGTCTAAAACCAGGAGGATGGTAATAAGACTTCACCTCACAGGCTATTTTTTTTTTTT